TCCAGATTAGGAGGGAAGAAGTAAAGATTTCTATTTGCAGATCACATGATCTTGTATGTAGAAAACCCTAAGGAATCAACTAAAAATACTTCTGGAACTAATACATGTTTTCAGCAAGATTGCAGTGTGCACAATCAATATATTAAAATCTTAAAATTTTATTTCTATACACTAGCAATGAACAATCCAAAAGTGAAACTAAAAATTTTTATTTCAGTAGCTTCAAACAATAAAATTCTTAGGAATACCTTTAAAAAATATATGTTTTTATTGAATTTTTTAGAGAGAGAGGAAGGGAGAGAGAGTTGCTATCCTCCTCTCCCAGAATAGGGCACATTTGTCTGCATTGAAAACCTGTGAGGTAGCCTTGGCCGGTTTGGCTCAGCGGTTAGTCAGCCCCCAGACCAAAGAGTTTTGGGTTCCATTCTGATCAAGGGCACGTACTTTGGTTGCGGTTTGGTCCCCGGCCCTGGTCAGGGTCATGCAGGAGGCAACCAGTCTGTGTGTCTCTTTTACATGGATGTTTCTCTCTTTCTCCCTCTCCCTCCCTCTCTCTCACTCGTCTGAAGATAAATGGAAAAAATATCTTCAGGTGAGGATTAGAAAAAACAAAACAAAAACCTGTGAGGTAGATACAGTACCCTTTCTCCTCAATGATTTTTTTTTTTATCCTCACCCGAGGACATTTTTGCATTTATCTTCAGATAGAGTGGGAGGGAGGAAAAGAGAGAGAAAGATCCATGCGAGAGAGACACATTGAGTGGTTGCCACCCACACGACCCCAACCAGGCCTCTCTGGCCTGCGGGAGCTGATGCTAACCACTGAGAAACCGGCCAGGGCAGGTATGCCTTTCTTAAAACTATCTCGCTCCCACAGTAAAGTTGCATTCAACACAAGATAAAAAGGTATCTCGCAAAAAGTGAAAGGTTTTTGTGCCTGCTGGTGTAACTGTAGCAATGGATTCATAAATTTAATTTCCTTTTTTTTTTTTTTTTTTTACAATGGTCCTTATGCTGGATTCATTTATCTTGAAATGGTGGGCAACTGCAGCAGTTCAGCTTGTTCTTGGAGTATGGCTTTACTTCTTGGGAGCACTTCCAGCATCATAGTGGCACTTTGTATGGGCCTTTCAGTGTTATTCAAGGTTTATGGTGTTACACAGATCATGATGAAAAATATGTGAGAACCTTGAGAGATCACTTTTTACTGCAATACGCAATACACAATTCACTGGAGAGACGAACTGCTTATATGGATGATTAATATCACATGGTGTTTTAAGGCGATTCTCACAACATGAGCTCATCGCTAATAGCAATAGGAGGTAACTACAAAAGTATTATAGTAGTACAGTCTATACTAGTTAATTTTATGTAGTTATGATTTAATATTACATATTTACATTTGTTTTTGTTTTTGTCCACTGGATGGTATTGTGTATGGTCTATGTTCATGTGCTTAAGTTTTGATAAATTTTAACTTTGTATAATAGATCTATATATTTTATGGTAGTAAATGATAAACTAGTTTCTACATATATTTTTTGCATTCATGACATACCAAACTTTTTCTTTTTTTACTTCAATATTTTAAGGGTACACAATTTGTCTGTGGGTTTTTCAAATTGTCACAAATTTCCGAAATCTTTTCAGTGTATCTATTGAGTGTAAGTGGACCAGTGCAGCTCAAACCTGTGTTGTTCAGAGGTTAGCTTTAAAGTAAAATTTTATTACCTTGGATTAGGCAAAGTTTTTTTTTTTTTCTTTATTGATTATAGAGAGAGGAAGGGAGAGAGAGATAGAAACCTTGATGAGAGAGAACATCGATTGGCCGCCTCCTGCATGCCCCTCACTGGGGATCGAGCCAGCAACCCGGGCACGTGTCCTGACCGGAAATCAAACTGGCGACCTCTTGGTGCATGGGTCGACACTCAACCACTGAGCCACACCGGCTGGGTGGATTAGACAAAGTTTTAAAAATATAACACCAGTGCCCAGCCGGTGTGGCTCAGTGGTTGAACATTGATTCATGGACCAAGAGGTCACCGGTTCGATTCCCGGTCAGGGCACATTCCTGGGTTGCTGGCTTGATCCCCAGTGAGGGGCATGCAGGAGGTGGCCAATCAATGTGTCTCCCTCATCAATGTTTCTATCTTTCTCTCCCTCACCCTCCCTCTCTCCCTACAAATCAATAATAATATATTTTTAAAAAATATGACACCAAAAGTACAAGAAACAAAAGAAAAATAGCCTAATTGGACTTTATTAAAATTGAACATTTTTATGCTTCAAAGGATACCATCAAGATAGTTAAAAGACAGCCCTTAAAATATTAGCAAACCATATATCTGTTAAGAGGCTTCTGTCTAGAAAAGATAAAAAAATGCTTACAACTCAGTAACAAAAAGACAACTCAATTAAAAATGGGAAAGGGATCTAAATAGACTTTCTGAATATAGACATTTCTTTCCTTTTTTTTTCTGTTAATCCTCACCCGAGGACATTTTTACATTTTTTGTTCAGATAGAGTGGGAGGGAGAGAGAGGAAGAGAGAGAAAGAGCGAAACATCGATGTGAAAGGGACACATTGAGTGGCTGCCTCCCTCATGCATGACCCAACTGGGGCCGGGGACAAACTGCAACCAAGGTACGTGCCCTTAGCGGGAACTGAACCTGGGTCTCTCTGGACCGCAGGCCGACACTCTAACCACTGAGCCAAACCAGCCAGGGCTATTTTTCCATTTTCATACAGAGTTGGAAGGGAGGGAGGAAAAGAGAGAGAGAGAAACATATTGTGAGAGAGATACATCGGTTGGTTGCCTCCTGCATGACCCTGACCAGGGCTGGGAATTGAACCTGCAACCCAGGTACATGTTGTGAACCCGTGGGCCAGTGCTCCAACCACTGAGCCAAACTGGCCATGGCTGAATAGACATTTCTGAAAGAAGGTGTACAAATGTTTAATAAGCACACAAAAAGATGCTCAACATCATTAGTCATTAGAGAAAGGCAGGTCACAACCACAATTAGTTACTACTTCATCCCCACTAGTATGGCTTTAATCAAAAAGACAATAAAGGCATTGGCAAGGATATGGGGAAATTAGCACCTCATTCATTGTTGGTGGGAATGTAAATGGTTCAGACCACTTTTGAAAACAGCTTGATAGTTCCACAAGTTGCTAAATATGGAATTACCACATAACCCAGTAATTCTGCTCCTAGATATATATATATATATATAAAAGAGAAAGGAAAACATTTGTCCACACAAAAACTTGTAATTGAATGTTCTCACAGCATTATTCATAATAGCCAAAAACTGATGATTGGGTAAACAACATTTATTCAGCATAAAAAAACAACAAGGAGGTACTGATAAATCTTAAAACGTGGATGAACTCTGAAAACATTATGCTAAGAAGCCAGTCACACAAGATTACATATGTGTGATTCTATTTATGTGAAGTGTCCAGAATAGGCAAAATTATGGAGACAGTAGATTAGTGGTTGCCTAGGGCATAGAGGGAAAGGAGAATTTGGGAATGATGCCTAAAGAGCACGGAGTTCCTTTCTGAGGTGATGACAATATTCTAACAAAGGTTGTGGTGATCATTGTACAATTTTGTGAACATGCTAAAAACCAGTAAGTTTTAGACTAAATGGGTGAATTATATCTTAGTAAAGCTATGAAAAAGATTTACCTGCCTTTCCAGGAAGATGCATATCATCTGTTCTCTAGTTTAAGTTCAAGACCTCCTTCCTTTACAAAGTTTTTGCTGATTAATAGCAATGTATTTGATTATTTCTAATCTGATTATACACTTGTAATTTATCTTAGTACTTCTGTCGGTCATGTTTGCCTCTCATATTTATTTGCCGTTGTATGTTTGTGTGTAGAGATTATGTCTAATGTCTATTACCAATATTAACCATCTCAATGCAATACTGATAGATAACCTCTGGAAACCCAAATCCATTGATTATTTAGTGATTTGTATGTTTAAGGAAACTTAAGATAATTGCTATTGCCCTGGTCGGTTTGGCTCAGTGGTTAGAATGTCAGCCCTTGGACCTAAGGGTCATGGGTTCGAGTCCTGGTCAAGGGCACATACCTGGGTTGTATGTTCCATCCCTGGTCCCAGTAGGGGTTGTGCAGGAGGCAGCCAATCGATGTGTCTCTCTCACATTGATGATTATCTTTCTTTCTCCCTCCCTTGTTTCTACTTTATCTAAAAATCAATGGAAAAATATCCTTGGGTAAGGATTAACAGCAACAACAACAACAAAAATGATTGCTATTCCCTTTATTCAGTGTGATTCAAGTGTATAATGGCTATAAAGTTATGCTTTGTATGGGTGAGAAAACATAATTTACATAGTTTAGAAAAGGAGCCCTGGCCGGTTTGGCTCAGCGGTTAGAGCGTCGACCTGCAGTCCAGAGAGGCCCGGGTTCAGTTCCCAATAAGGGCATGTACCTCGGTTGCAGTTTGTCCCTGGCCCTGGTTGGGTCGTGCGGGTGGCAGCCATTCGATATGTCCCTTTCACATCGATGTTTCTCTCTCTCTCTCTTTTCCTCTCTCTCCCTCCTGCTCTATCTGAACAAAAAAAAATGAAAAAATGTCCTCAGGTGAGGATAAAAAAAAGAAAAAAAAAGAAAAGGATATGCATACATTTTTCAAAGTCTTGCAAATATACACCTGTGTTGAATTTGTTGGTTTTAATATTAATAAGAAAATGTATTTGTTACTATATATAAGCAACTCTGCTGAGCTCTAGTACAATACAGAAAGTTATTGTAAATAAACCTGTTTTTAATGGGGGGAGGAGTGATTTCAGAGACAAACGTGAGAAATTTAGGATTAGACAAATTAAGCACTAAAATGAATTCTGGGCTGTCTTTGAAGAATGATTGGGCCAGAGTTGTTCAGAAAATGTTATTGAAGAATGAGGATTTTAGGTAGGCTTCTTAAAAAGTATATATTTTTGTTTTTTAGGTACCAAACTCAAAACATGAACAATCATGTATATTACCAATGTTCAAAGCTGATTTGGCTAGAACTGGAATATAGTTGCCTACTACATATTCCAGAGGATTTAACAAAGTCAAAGTAATGGATAACAGAAACGATCCTCCATTCTTCAATGAAGATAATGTGGGACCATTTTACTACAAACTTCCTTTCTATACCATGGAGCTCTTCATTGAAACATTGACTGGAACGTGTTTCGAACTGCGAGTTTCACCGTTGGAAGCTGTTATTTCTGTGAAAGCAAAAATTCAAAGATTGGAAGGTACCCATCTTTTCTTTTTTTCCTTTTTTCTTTTTTTTTCTTTATATTTAGGATATGAGGGTTATATGTGTTCATCAGAAATGTATAATAATTTTAACTCTTCTTACAGAGAAAATGTCACACATACATAGAATTAGAAAGTATAGGCTAATGAACCCCCATTTAGCCCGTACTCAGCTTCAGCAGTTATCGGTTAATTATCTTGTTACCATTCCTACATTCCCCCCACCTCATTCCCTTCTACCAGAGTTTTGAAGCAAATCTGTGATACTATGTTAATGGTGTGAAATAATATTTTAAAATAGTTTCCAACATGTTATAATGACATGCAAATTCTGCCATAACTACATTACAGTTACTTTTAATGGGAAATAGTAATTGAGTTTCCTTTGAGAATACCTTTTTTTTTTTTTTTAATGTGTAGATTTTCTGAGAAGAGTTTTTGGCTTACATTTACACATATTTGAAGTTTTTTTAGTATGGCAGGGTACAATATCTCTTTTGTGGTTTGTATTTGTGTGAAGAGTCATAAATTACTTTGTAGAATTAGAGTATTTTTCTTCATACTTTGCAGGTTTCTGAAGTAAATGGTATTTGCCTTTCTAGTTGTTAAAATCCAGTTTTGACTAGAAAATTAAATTATTTCATATAATACTAAATGGATCTTTACTTTTTGAGTCAGCTCGAATTTGCTTGTAAAGGTAGTAACTGTCATTATCTTCCAGCCTATTTTAAGTTCAGAATTGTAGAAGGATGAGGAGGGTTGGAGTTTTTTGTTTGTAAAGTCAATAATCCTGGTATCTGAGCTTCTGAGTATTTGCAGTTCCACTATAACTCTTGTCCTCTGTAGGGGGAGGCATTGGCAGGGTAAAACCAGTAGTGGCTTTGTAGTTATTAGACAGCTGAGTCCTAGGTTATACAATTATAAATACAGTTATTGGGAAATTAAATGAGGTCATATGTAAAAATGTCTATTGTCTTAGTTTGCTTGGGCTATCATAACAAAATACCGTAGACCGGGTGGCTTAGAGAATAGAAATATAATTTCTCACAGTTCTGTAGGCTGAAAGTCTGAGACCCAGAATACCAGCATGGTGAGGTTGTGGTGAGGGCTTTCCTGACTTGTAGATGGCCACCTTCTCACTGTCCTCACGGGAGAGACAGGCAGAGGGAGAGGGTGAGGAGAGGGAGAAAAGAAAGGAAAAAAGATAGAGAATGAGAGAAAGAGCTGTGACATCTCTTCTTCCAAGAGCACTGCTTCCAACATGAGGCACTTACCTTCATGACTTCACCGAAACCTAATTATCTTCCAAAGGCCCCATCTCCAAAACTATATCACATTGGGAGTTAGGGTTTCAATATATAAACTGGGGGGGGGGGGTGGACACAGTTCAGTCAGTAGCATCTACCACTCGTGGTCAGTAGATCATAATTTCTATTCCTATTCTTCACCCTCATACCCCTCACACCTCCCCCTTCCTCTTTTTTTTTTGGTTGATCCTCACCTGAGGATATTTTTCCATTGATTTTTAGATAGAGTGGGAGGGAGGGAGGGGGAGAGAGAGAGAGAGAGAGAGAGAGAGAGAAACATCAATGAGAGAGAGACACATCAATTGGTTGCCTCCCACATGACCCCGACTGGGGCCAGGGATCAAACCTGCACCCCAGGTACATGCCCCTGACTGGGAATTGAACCTGTGATCCTTAGGTCCTGGGGCTGACACTCTAACCACTGAGCAAAACAGCCAGGGCTTTGTTTGTTTGTTTGTTTGTTCCTTTCCTCTTTTACTTTCTTGTAACTTCTTGCAGCCCGTGAGCAGTGATGGCCATTCTGTTCTTCAGGAGGCTTTAAAAGGGCATCCTTCATGAAAAATCAATTTTAATCCTTTTCTGGGTGATCTTTATGTTTCTACCTATGAAGCCATTTTGGGGCTAACATGGTGCATAAGACTGTCCAATACAGAGGGACACTGCTCGGTCTAGTCCTTCAGGGAAATGGTTGCTCTGCCAGAAGGTTTTCCTCTTGGGCAGCTTGTGGCAGGATCAGAAATGGAGCCTAGTAGGAGACAGGAGGGTAGATGGAGGGGGGCGTGGAGAAAGGGCTAAAGGAGTGTACTGGCTTAGGAATGATGAGGTTATAGCAAGAAAGGAACAGTACCTACGGGGAACTTTAAACGGGACTTGAAAATGAATGAATAAATAAATAAAATAAATAAATGGGCCTTGAAGGGACAGGAGCACTGAAGCCAGACTGCCTGCTTCCACATTACTTGTTAAGCAAATTACTTAACCTTTCTTAACCTCAGTTGTGCTAATTTATTTATTTTTTTAATTAATTAATTTTTGTTACAGATGTTTTCCTTTTTACCCCCATTGACACCCTCCTGATCCTGCCCCTGCCCCCCCCCCCCCAGCATTGCTGTCTATGTCCATTGGTTACGCATACATGCATATAAGTTCTTTGGTTTATCTCTTCCCTCCCCCTGACCCCCTCCTCTAAGGTTTGTCAGTCTGAACCATACTCCTTTCTATGTCTCTGGGTCTGTTTTGTTCATGAGCTTACTTTGTTCACTATATTCCACAAATAAGTGAGATTGTATGATATTTATCTTTCTCTGATTGGCTTATTTCACTTAGCATAATACTCTCCAGGTCCCTCCATGTCATCTCAAAGGATAAGAGATCTTTCTTTCTTACAGCTGCATAGTGTTCCATTGTGTAAATGTACCACAGCATTTTTATCCACTCATCTATTGATGGACACTTGGGCTGTTTCCAGATCTTAGCTATTGTAAATAGTGCTGCTGTGAACATAGGGGTACATATATTCTTTCTGATTGGTGTTTCAGGCTTCTTAGGATATATTCCTAGAAGTGGGATCACTGGGTCAAATGGCAGTTCAATTTTTAATTTTTTGAGGAAACGCCATACTGTTGTCCATAGTGGCTGCACCAGTCTGCATTCCCACTAGCAGTGTACTAGAGTCCCCTTTTCTCCACACCCTCGCCAGCACTTGTTGTTTGATAATTTGTTGATGGCAGCCATTCTGGCAGGTGTGAGGTGATACCTCAAGTTGTGCTAACTTAAATTGAGAATAACAATCATACCTATCTTGTTAGAATTAAATGAGTTAATAAATGTAAAGCATTTAGCAGAGCAGCATTTGTGTTCTTTATCATGGGAAAATGGTTAGTCTGTGGAGATAGTGCAGTATATACCCAAGAATATAAGAGCTGTGCCCTTGGGAGGACATGTATTTAGCTGAGTGACTGGAGAAGTCAAATTGTTTGGAGTTTGTCATTACCTAGAGCAGTGGTCTGCAAAGGAGAGTACATACTATTTAGAGGATATGAAAAATAATCCAGTGGATTTTGGAAATAAAAAACGTGCTGAGAAATGTAAGGGATTATTGTCAGTTGGTTTTTTATTGCCATGGGCAGTAGATTCCCTGGCCTTGCCATCTACAATGCTTGACATCACTGCTCCCTAATAAAGGTTTCTTTTCTCTGCATGGGATTGGATTGCTTTCCTGGCCATCTTATGAGTAGGTGGGACTATTTATTAGTCCTGGCCAGTGAGCTGTGAATGGAAGTCTCCATCAGCCTGAGTCCCTGCACAGCAATCGTGAGCAGACCCCACCTGCTGACATGTAGTGGACTTGTTCTGTAACCAATGCCCCCCCAGATATCAAGGGACAACTATACTTTTAATCTGTATGCATCTGTATACTTAAAGTGGATTTCTTATAGACAACATATAGTTGGGTCTTATTTTTTTTTTATCCAATCTGATGATCTCTGATCATTATATATGGTTATATTTCCTCTCTTTTCTTAACATCAGTTATATTTTTAAAATTCTTTCTAGTTTTTGCACTAGAGTTTGCAATATACATTTACAGCTAATCCGAGTCTGCTTTCGAATGATACTATACCTCTTCACAGGTATTGCAACTACCTTATAATAACTAAATATTCCTAATTTTTCTCTCTCCTCTCTTGTATCATTGTTTTCATTTATTTCACTTATAAGCCTAATCATTGATACGTTGCTATTATTATTATTTTTAACAAACTATTATTTGTTAGATAAACTAAGAGTAAAACTAATGCAAGTTTTTATTTCACCTTCATTTATTCTTTCTTTGGTGCTCTTCCTTTTTTAAAAAAATGTAGATCCAAGTTTCTTACTTATATCATTTCCTTCTCTCTGAAGAACATCTTTTAGCATTTCTTAGAAGGCAGGTGTACTGACAAAAAATTCTCTCAATTGTTGTTTATCAGAGAAAGCCTATTTCTCCTTCACTTTTGAAGGGTAATTTCATAAGGTGTAGAATTCTAGGTTGGTGGTCTTTTTCCTTCAACACTTTTTATATTTCACTCCACTCTCTTTTAGTTTATAGATTTCTGATAAGTTCCCTGTAATTATTATCCATGTGTTTTTCCCCCTGGCTTCTTTAAAGATTTTCTCTTTGTCGTTGCTGTTCTGCAGTTTGATATGACGTGCTTAGATGTAGATTTATAAATTTTATGTTCTCTGAGCTCTTCCTGGTCTGTGCTTTGGTGTACCTTATTAACTTTGGAAAATTTTAGGCCATTATTACTTAAAATGTTTGTTTCATTTTCTCTTTTTTCTAGTATTCCAGTTGCACCTTTTGAATTTTTCCCACAGTTCTTGGATGTTCTGTTTTTCATTTTAGTTTTCATACTTTTTTTCTTTATGTTTCAGTTTGGGAAGTTAGTAGTGACATTTCTTTAAGCTCACTGATTCTTTCCTTGCCATATCCAGTCTGCTGATGAGTGGACCCATCAAAGGCATTATTTATTTCTGTTAGTGCTTTTTATTTCTAGCATCTACTTTTTATCCTTTCTTATAGTTTTAATCTCTCTGCTCTCATTACCTGTTTTTTCTACTGTACTGAGGTCTACTTTTCTATTAAATTTTCAAACATATTAATCATAGATATTTTAATTACCCTGATACTGTAATTCAAAAATTTC